ATTATGAGCAAAAGGTTGAGTTCTCTTTTTTAATGAGTTCTGCCTGATGCTGAGAGGAAAATCTAGTCTGGTGCAGAGTATATTCAATAGTGCTAATTAAACCATTCCTCCCACTTACTTTAAGTCAAATTAGTTTGATCCAGTTGAGAAACAAATGTTTCACTAAGGCAGGTCTTTAAGACTAAACAGACTAGTTCCATGTTACCTTAAATGAGTGGGCTTTTTTTGTGAAGGGACTACCAATCTCTAATAAGTGAAATATAGCTTTTCTTCTTTTCATTTTCTTAGTGTTATAAGCGAAGCACTTGAGTAGCCTCTGCTACTCAAGTATGGTGATGCCAGTTGGAATAATGGGTGTGTTGGATTTTTCCCCTATTTTTGCATAGAATAACTGTTTTTTATTTTATTGGAAGAAAAATAAAAAAAAACCAAACACTTTGGTGCTTGTTCCTAACTCAAAGGCATGACTTTTTAAAATCTACTTACAGGAAAGTAATAAAACTTTATTATCAGAACTTCAGGAGATGACTTATTGAAAGCATCACCCTGAAAGCTCTTCAGGGTGTTAAGGACCAGAAGTTAAAATGCTTAGCAGTGTTGGATTTTTTTTTTTTTTTGAGGCAGTTAAACCCAGTCGTGTACTGCTTACTGAATTTCACTGGTTTGATGAGATTATGCACCATGAAGTATTATTACAGATTATTATGATTATAGACATATTATCAGGAAGTGTATTATTCCTATCAGTATCATGGACAAAATTTGCCTTTATTGCTACTCAGACCTGCTCAGGCATATTAGTTTCAGGTAGGGGTGCTGCACTACATTTTAAGGTACATTGTGTTGATCTGGATGATCTTCTTTGGGAGGACATGTAATGCTTCTCCTGCTGAAGTTGTATGATTGCATATCTCCACATGGTTAAAACTACTTCCACTACTTCCCCTATGCCAAACATCACTGGAGAAAAACCCTCTGGTGTGATAGAGGGGGAATGTTGTACCTGCCTGTTCAAGGCTGACCCCCTGGTCATGCTCAGTATTTGGTTACAGTTTGGGCCTGAGGAAGTGCCACTTAGGATCTCTGTCAATGCTGTGGGGGCTTCATATCACTCCAGCTTCTGTTTCACAAGGGCAGGTTGTGAGCTACTCTGTGTGTGTCCCATGAGCTCCAACCAGCCCAGACTCCAGGGCTTGCCAGCAGCCTTTGAAGATTCTTGGCTTGTAAAAGCTGGACTTTGTGGTATGCCTGTGCTATAGCAGCTGTGTTTGGGGGTGAATGAATTGAGTTAGCTTGAAGCTGCTGAGCTCAGGTACTGTCAATATTAGTGCTGCAGCAGGAAAGCCACACGATGGAAACTGGTTAAAAACTGCCCACTTGGGTTGGCTCTTTCTTGCTGTGGCTGCAATGTCAGCAGTACAGTACCCAGGCTCTGCATTTTTGACTTATCAGGAATGTTTATGTGAGCTGTGGTTGCAGCAGTGAATGCCAGACACACTGCTCCTTGAAGAAGCAGTTTAGTGTCGTAATGAATACGTGCTAAAGAATAAAGAGCACTGGAGAACTAATTCTGGAGTAAGGACAAACCAGTTGCATTGGTGCTACCTGATACCATCTGTAGTTTTGATATCCATTCTGATTCTGGGCCACAGGAGAGTGTAATGCTGATTCTTGTTTTGAACAGCTTTCTTGAAGACTTGAGGGTTGTGCCCATGGTAGAAAATAGAAAGGACCATACTGCATTTATGCATTCACAACACACTGTCCCTGACCTGTCTTATGCTGCAGACTGTACTTAATCTGCCACTGTCTGGGAGAATATTAATTGCCAACTGTTGATGGAGTATACATGTTAGCAATTAAATGTTATGGATGAGTGTAGGCTGGTATTTGAGCCCTTGCCTTGCCTTTAATTTATTGATATAGGCACATGCAGTTAATTCCCTACCTTTTTATAAGTTCTGAGTATTCTCTATGAGTTCCCAGGATTTTTCTATAGACTATTTTATAATTCCACCATAAATGGGCTTTTTTATTCCTATTTTCTCTCAATATGTTGCTTTATATACTATTGAAGTCAGCACGACTGAATAGCTGCAGCAGCAGTACTAAGTAGCTCATTAGCTTTGTTAAAGATGAGTGGCTTGATTTAAGTGCAACAATTAAAAATAAAACTGTTTTGCTGAAGGAGATAAGGTGGGTCCCACAAATTATGTGGTTTACATACTGATTTTTTTTATTTTTATTATTTGAAAACACTGACCAACAGCAAGGAAAAACACTGAAGGATTTGGCATAATACTGGCATATGCGGATATTAAATAATATGCATGGTAGGAGACAGGATTTTTAGCTGAGAGTTTGCTAGGACAGGCATCATATGCAGGGGTTTCCTTTATAGTCAGAAAGAAGAAACCAAATACAATGATACATGTTTACTACTTGACAGTTGTAATGCAATGCTGTACCACATTTTTATTGGAAGACATGAGTAAAATTCAGTATCTTATTACTTCCTTACAGATTTAAATTAACCCTTTTGATTTGTAGTTTATTTTTATTTAGTTTATTTTTATTTGGTGTCAGACCCTTTTCAGTCTCGTTCCAAAAAAAAATTAAAAATCTTGCATGGGAGAGCTGCCAAAATGTTGACAGAATAATGCTCATGATTCTTTTCTCTGAACAAATATTAGACACTTTTGGTATTCCTGTGTTGAAGGTGCCATGGCTGTAAAAACAAAGATATGTTAATATATTATAGAAGGGGAATGGCATTCCATGCTCTTCCCTGATTAAAGTCTAGGCCACATTCTGCCTATGGAAAACTGCCTTTCCATGTTGATTTGTAATTCAGTAAATGCTTGCTGGTCCTGAATAGGTGAAGAATTGAACTATACAACTTTCATTGTAGGTAATATGAAGGGAGATCTTACTGTTTTGCATTAGTCCTTACTCTTACTGGTTGCATTTATTCAAGAAACTTCATGAACATTCCATAACCCTTCTAAGCAATTACTCTAAAAAGCGAATTGCACTTGTCAATGTGACTTTTTTCAAAAGTTTTTACAAAATCATTAAAATTTTGTTTGGAAGTGGCCCCTGGAGGCCATCAAGTCCATCCATCTGCTTGAAGCAGGACTGTTAGCCAGCCTAGATCCATTTTTTCTGAACGTTGAAAACCTCTGAAGCTGGAGATTCCACCTCTGTGAATAATATATTACAGTGCTCAACTATCTTCCTAGTGAAGAATTTTTTCTTAATATCCTTCAATCCTCCTAACTGCAACCACTCCCTGTTGGCCCTTGTTTTGCCATTGGCCATATGTAATGAGAGGTTGTCTCTGTGGTCACTGGAGCTGTGGGCTGCTGTTAGCTTTCTCTCTTAGCCAGAATGAACAAGGCCAGCTCTTTCAATCACTTCTAAGGGGCCAAGCGATGGCCATCCTTACAGCCTTCTACTGGGCCTTACTCTACTCCTCTCAGTCCTTCATGAGCAGCAGAGCCCCAAACTGAGCACAGCTTTCCAGATGTGGTCTCTTCAGTGCAGGTTCTTCTTGACCTGCTGGCTGCACCTTCCTCAGTGTGACCCAGTATTCAATGTGGCTTTCCAGCTTCACAGGGAGGCTGCCCCATGGCTCATATTCACATTGGCACCTGCCGTGGTCCCTGGTACTTTCAGCAGAGCTGTCAGTCAGGCAGCCACTTTCCACCTGTACTTGTGTGTGAGGCTATTCTTCCCCAAGTGCAGAACAGTGCAGTTCTGCTTATTAAGCTTTGGGAAATTGCTCTTTCTCTAGTTCACAGGTTTCTCAAACTGCTGTGAATTAAGACTATACTGCTCAATGTATCAACTTTCCTCCATTTGGTGCTGTCCTTGCATTTTCCAGTAAGTGCATTCTTCTTTATGACCCAGGTTGCTGATGAGGATGAGGAACAATGTCAGACCCAGAATAAACTCCCTGATTTTCATTGTGTTATTGACTGCCATCCAGACTTCAAGCCATTGATTACTGTGAGCCCGCAGTGTCCAGGCAGTTTTTAATATATCTAACTGTTCAGTCAGCTCATAGTTTCTCAGCTTTCTGAGCTTCTGTGGAAAATTGTGTCAAAATTCTTATGAAAGCCTAAGTGGATCATATCTAGTGCTATCCCCTGGTTCAGAGGATGCAGTTCATAATTTCATCATAGAAGGCAATTGTGTCGGTCATGGATGATTTGCACTTGGTAAATTTCTGCTGATTATTCCTGATTAACTCTTTATCCTTCACATACTTGAAAATCTATTTCCTTTTATCTTAATATGAGTTAGTGGAAAAAGTATATCAATATAATCTCTTTGAGACAAACGTACATGAATGCAATGTTGTACTGGCAGCAGCAGAGGTATTTCATGTCCAGAGGAGAGAAGCAGGGATAAGCTGCTTTATTGGTACAGATAACATCTATTTTAATGAGAAAGAGAGATAACTGCATATATGCTAGAGATTAGTCATTGTTTCGCTAAGGTAAGATTTATCCAGAAACTTAGCTTTGAGGAGAGTCCTAGGAATAATATAAAGTCTGTATTTATAATTCACTTGGGAAACATTACACTACATGTTAGATACAGAAGAATTCATTGACATATAAATTATAATTATAGTCCTTGAGCTGTGAAAGCAAAAGTGTAAATCTCCAGATCTTTAATAAGAACAATGATAATTTTCTTTGTTTTAGGGGAAATATTGGCTAGAGATCATGAAATTAAATGTTAATCAGTTGTTAAGTAAATAATTCGGTGCTTCAGGTGAGAACATGTAAACCTTTTTGAGGGAGAAATATACTATCTCAATACATAGAAAGTTGTAATTGTATTCTGTAATGTATTTAAAATTCACCTTCCCAAGTAACTTTAGGGAAACTTCTAAGTCCTTCCTCCATATTGTTTAATTAATTACCTTTTTACTTCTTCCTATGCCTGTATTAAGGTGAACAGAAACTGTCATTCAGAATGCATGAAGAAAAATGCACAAATGGGTATCAAGTTCCAGGTAACATTTCAAATTCAAAAAAGTCTTGATCTACTCTGCTATTAGAGCATTTCACATTTCCAGCCTGGGGATCCAATAGCATTGTTTACAGTTCCTCTACTCAACACAGCTACATATGCTGCAGATATGTTTCTATGAGTTAGGAGAAACTAAGCTACTTAAAAGTTTGCCTGAGACCAGTTCCATTTTGTTTTCCATGTATCTTTGCTTTTCCGTGTGTAGGGAGCACTGTGCTCCAGGACGGTTTAGGTGAATGGAGACGAGAGATCTCTGAAGGCTGCTCTTGGGATATCAGGTTTATTAGGGATGGGGAAAGGTCCTGCCTCGAGCTGCCAGACACAGCACGTGGCGAGGCTTGAGAGGATGGGGGAAGGGAGAGACAAAAGGGTGCTCTAGGAGAGGGGAAGTTCCAGGAGAGGGGAAGGAGTTCCAAGAGAGTGTGTGGCCCCTCAGAGACCCCTTATCAGGGTGGGCTGGAACAAGGCTCGGGCCAATGGGGTTACAGGCACTTGATGTTTTAGGGGAGGGTTACAGATGCAGGGTGAACCATACATTTTGGGGGGTGAGATGGAACAGTGCACTTGACCCCTGGACCCATCCATAGGCAAGGGCATTGTCCGGCTAGCAGAGAGGACTGTTCTCCTGGCTGCATTAGTTATGAATAATTATATTTATCCATCCTTCCCAACATCCATGTGTCTTTGCTTTACTCATTTTTTTCAGACTTCCAAAGTCCTGAGACTTCACCAAGATTGTTAGGAATTCTTAGTGTATTTTTGCTGCTCTTCAGATGAGATCATTGATTTCTGTGTTGATATTTGCAGGTAAAGAAGTCACTGGATGCTGTGGCATTTTGTTTTGTTTTGTTTTAAATAAGGGTTTCTGAAGAGGAGAGAAATTCACTTTAATATCAGAGTGAGTGAAAAATTTCTCTGGGAAGCCTATTCTACGTGACCCAACTTGAGCAGAATGATTTGACTAGACAACTTGAGAGGTCGCTTCTAACCTTAATGCTTTTGCGATTCCATGATTTAGCTGTGATTTCCAATTTTGATTGGTCATGTATTTTATGATGTAGCACATTCTAGAAAAAATTGCTTGTGTGGAGTCCAAAGCCTTAATGCAAAGAGATTTTAAGACCTTCTATACTGGACCTAAAATCCACAGCATCAGAGGATAATCGATTTTGGAAGGAACCTAAACAGGTCTCTAGTCCAACCTCATGTTCAAAGTAGGATCAGCTATGAGCTCAAACCAGATTACTTGGAATTTTATATACTTTGTATACTTAAAAATCTCCAAGGAGGGAGACTGCACAACTATTCTGAGTAATCTGTTCCTGTGACTGTCTGCCCTTGTGGTGAAAAAAAATTGCCTTCAGCCAGTCTCAGTCTCAGTCCCAGTCTAAGTCTCAGTCTCAGTCTCAGTCTCAGTCTCAGTCTCAGTCTCAGTCTCAGTCTCAGTCTCTCATTTGAAATGCTTGCTGTGTCTCTTCTTCCCATCATGCATCATTTTGGAGAACCTGTATCCATCATCTCTGTGAGCTCTGTATAGATATTAGATGGCTGCAGCTAGGTTCCTCTGAAGCCTTGTCTCCAAGGCTGAGAAAGCCAAATTAGCTCAGTTTCTAAAATCAAGGTGAATTCTCCAGACCCCTGAGTGTCTTAGTAGCTCTCCACTGAACTCTGCTGAACTTGCTCCAGTTCATCAATGTCTGTATTAAGGGGGGAAAACTGGATGCAGTGCTTGAAATGTGGTCTATGAAATGCTTTTTTCTACTAGCTATGATAATACAACCTAGGATGCTGTGACTTTTTTTTGCTGCCAGGGTATACTGCTGGCTGGCTGCCCAGGGTCCTTTCCACTACAGCTGTTTCCCAGCCAATCACTCCACTGCCTGGCTTTGTGTAAGGGCTCATTTCTTCCAAGGTGCAGGACTTCAGATTTTTCATTTTTGAAATTAATAAAGTTCTTGCTAGTCTATTTCTCTAGTCTGTCTAGATCCCTTTTAACAAAGTCCTGCTCCTAAGCATATCAGCTCTTTCTCCTAATTTGATGCATGTGCAAACTGGATGAAAGTGTGTACAGCCACTTACTTCCAAGTCACTGATAGGTATATTAGAAAGGTCAGGTCCCAGGAAAGACCTCTGTGGTGCTCCACTTGTTGCTAGCCTCCAGATACAGTAGGATGGGCTATCTACTGTCTTCTGAGACTAATCATTCAAGCAGGTTTTCTCATATCTAATTGTCTACCAATACAGACCATAACATCACAAATTGCATACATGTTCTGTGAGAGTCAAGAATATCTCTGAAGATGAAAGTAAATGACATCCACTGCTCTCCCTTCATCCCCAAATCTAGTAATTTTAGCCTAGATGACAATCTACCTTAAATAGATGGTTACCTTATCTACTTCATGTGCCCAGAAACACTCTTGAAAATGATTTGCTTTGTGATTTTTTTCCAGACATCAAAGTGAAACTTCAAGTTCCCTTACCTTTTGACTTTTTTGAAGACTGATACAACATTTGCCCTCCTCCAGTCACGCAGGACCACTTGATCTCTATGAGCTTTCAAAATAATAGAGAGCAGCCTTGCAAGGATACAGCCTACTGAATCCCATGAGCTTGTGTGGGCTGAATTGTCTCAATTAATCCCTGAGTCCTAATGGACTTCTGCTAGATCTCCATGATCCCTTTCACTAATCACAGAGGTATGGTAGAGAGACAGATGGCATTAAATACATCAATATTATTTATGCCTGCTGTTGCTAAATCACCTGTCTCCTTCAGCAGCTCACATATCCCTTGTTCAGCCTTACAGCCATTTTTCAAATTCTGGGCTCCAATGAAACCTACACTGAAGCCACTGGAATCAATGCACTTCTTACACTAGAAAAACAAATAAATGTGAGGACCTGTAACAAGATGTTACAGGGTTTACAAGTAGCAAGTAAAATTTTATTAGGTAGCTGTGAAACTTGGAAAATTTAAACCAAAAACTGCAATGTGCTCGTTGTTTACAGTTCTTGCTGATGGGTGTTGTGCAAGTTGTGGTGGCTCTAGGGGTGCCAGAAGCCTTGACTATCCCTGCCCAGCCCTGCCTCAGTAGTGCCACAGCAGAGTCTGGTCTCCAGCTCAGTACAGCCCTGCCCAGCTGTACCCAGTCATGGGTCCACATCCCAGCTGGGCCCACATCCCAGCTCATCACTGTCCCATCCCCAGGGAGGTGCCCAGTGCCCAGAGCTGGGGGTTCCCTGGTGCCCTGTAGCTGCCCTGCTTGTGGCTGGGGTGCCCCAGACCCATGGGCAGCCACTGTTCTTTTGCTGCTCCCTGCCACAGCTTGTCTTTCTAGTGTCTGTCTACCTTTTTGGGGATCCACTCCTATTTTCCTCTAAAAGCAATGAATTCAAACTTCTCTGAAAAAACTGTTACCAGGTTGTTCTGCATCTTCTATCTCAACAGAATATTTTGAGGACACTGCTGAAAATATCTTTCAGTTTTGTTTGACAGGTACTTTCTACCACCTGAGGCATATGCTAGCTCTTTGTGTCATGTAGGGAATCTACTGCATTTTGTATTTCTGCTTCTCAGTTTAGCCCTGTGCTGGGAAAGAGATGGAATCCTAACCCACGAGAACTTGCTGAAAAGTAGCTTTTAATGCCTTCAGATCTTAGACTCCCTCTTGTCTCCTTCACTTTCTTTGATGATGTCACGTTTTGCAGTGTTAACTTCAGTCTTTGTACTGTAAGCAAGGACCTTTCATTAAACAGGTCAGCTATCATATTGCCTTTTTAGTACTCATCTCAATCATACAGAGACATCTCAACCTCTGGCAGCAATGATGAAGGCAGATGGGCTGTACAGCCTGGCCTTTTCAGCTTTGGAAATGCTTGTGACCCCTGTGCTATGACTACCATGCATCACTCCTCCCCTTCTGATGGCAGTGCTTAACAGGAGACGGAATAAGGACAAACCTTGTAGGATATCTCCATTACACTATACTTGAATGCCAAACACTCCATCTTCATCCAAGGTAGATAAAAGAAAGATTTTTTTTCTCATTGGGAAGCTCTGATGGGCCTGTTAATTTGCAGTGTTGAGTGATGTGTTTCTCATAGAATAACTTTGCCAACTGTGGATTTGCTGCCTGTGTGCACAAATGAGTTTGTGATTATTCTGAACTTCACTCATCTTGAGACAGGGGTTTCCTTCTTTTCTTTGCACCCTGCCCTGGACTTGGTCTGTTTGGTACAGTGTGCCTGATTCTGCCCTCTGGAAATGAAACAGATGAAACCCATCAGTACAGAAATCTTTTTACACAGCTTCAGAATAAGGCCTTCCACCTATGACTAGCCTTCTGAAGAAGGATAAGCCGTGGGTGCTTAGCAGTTTTGTTCTGCTTGCTGACTGTACATGCACAGGCTAAATCACACTTAGCTGCATAATGAGACAAGCTATAGAGACAAAAATCCCTAAACCTTTTTGCCTTCATATTCTCTTTCAAATGCAAGTGAAGAAAAGTCTGAATTCATTAGTGGACGAGCTGCAGAACACCCAAGAACATGTCTTGATTAATTTGTTTTGCAACAGTTAGATGTAGAACAATTCATGGAGAATGACAGTGAAGTGGGCGACTCCTAGGGACCCAATACTAATTTTTCACTAAATGCTCAGAATTATGCACATTTTTAATATCGTTATTACCTGTATGCAGTGCAGTGGATCAGAGCTAGACTTCAATATGAGAATCGCAAAATTATCTCCAGTGTTTTTTCCATTTTTATTTGTTATGATCTGTTAATCTCAGTAAACAATGCAATATTTTTTGAGTCTCTTCCTTCTTCCTCTTCCCCTTGGCCTCACATGCCTTCTGGACTCCTTCCCCACCCCTTATAGATTTAGATATTGAAATGATGAAGTTCAGAGGCCTGATAACTTCCTCATTATTGAGGCTGAAGTTCTTGTAAATATTTCTCTCTGCAAAGTACTGTGAGG